CCTATGAAACAGATTCGTAACGGCGACGGCGACGGCAGCAACAGCGTTGGGACATCCCATTAGCCAACGTACAGTACTACGACGACTTTGTGCTGCTGAAATCCGAGCGTATCGTCCTTTCCGAGGAATGCTACTGACTGCTCAACATCGACGCCTGAGACTGCGATGGGCGAGGCAGGTTCGATGGTACAGGTACTGATGAAACTGATGAAAGTCGGTTGTTTCGAAAGACGGCAGAGAACGAGTTTATCGAGGCAGAGGGGAACGTTTGGCCCCGGCGTGTATTCGAGAGGTCCATCCATTCGGCGGGGAAGGTGTAATGGTGTGGGGCGGTATTTGTGGAGATCAGAAGACTGATTTGGTGATTATACAGGGAAACCTGAACGCTGTGCAGTACACAGACCACGTATTGCAGCCAGTTGTGCTTCCGTTCTTACAAAACCAACAGCAGGGGACATTGTTTCAACACGACAATGCCAGGCCCCATACTGCAAGACTGACTCGGAACTTTCTAAACCAGCAGAACGTTGACGTTTTGCCCTGGCCTGCCCACTCACCCGAGTTGAATCCTACTGAACATCTGTGGGACCATCTTGACAGACAGATTAGAGCACGCCACCAGCCTCCCGTTAACAGACAAGAATTGCAGCAGGCCCTGAGAGACGAGTGGCAACGGATTCCAGTCCACGTCATCAGGAGACTGACGTCATTGATAAGGCGGCGTATCATAGCTTGCATTGAGGCAGCTGGAGGTCATACACGTTATTGAAGGCAACTGTGTCGACAATGAACTTGTAGTGTGTCTGACAATTTTTTGGTGACATTTCAGACATCTTTTGAAAATGAAATTCTTACCCCACCATTGTTTACCTTGAGCTTACATTACCTGTGATTGCACAATTTCATTCTAACCGTGGTTGATCAATCATTTGTTACCCCTCCCTAGATTATATTATAATTCACAACAAAACCTCTTCTTGTTTTTTTTTATCGATCATGGAACTGGACCTATACTTTCTTTTGCCGCCCATTTTATATATATATCAATAGATATTGGTGCTTAACCTTTTACAATGTGTATAAACCTATTGAACAATAAGGCTTCTTGATAATGGGTAACTCTTTGCTGCATTACACGTTATAAAATATAAAAGTGCCTTCAATAATATTCGCTCCAACTCGACCTTCCACCTCAAATTACAGTTGTGGTTTGAAGTATGGTTTTAGTAGTATTCCACACATTGTACCCATGTGGAGAAACGACCCCGGGCATTTGGCGTGACGAGCGATCGCTTCAACCATTAGGCTACCCCATCTAAGCTCGTTCTTTAGTCGTAAACAGCGAGGTTTATACAAATGGCAAGTACACGAAACCAGATTATCAAGACCATCTGAGAATCATATGACATATATATATATATATATTCTCATTTTTTCTTGAGTCATAACATAATGCATATTATGCGTCAATGGACACACGTCTTCAATTATGCATACTGAAACCATGTTCACAAGTACACATGATCAGAATCACAAAGCCAACTATGTGCCTCAACTTTGCGTTACGGATGAAACTGCCCTTCCCAGTGTCTTTCAAATTAACAAGGCCTTCAAAGACTTCCACAAACACTTCTTTAGGCCTTTTCATCCTTACAAGTGCTCACGGGGTTCTCTCGTTCCTTGTCCCAGAACAGCTGACACTATGAATATCACGCGACAATTGACACAAAAACACGCATTCCCTCTTTACCGTTAGTTTAATTGATGTGTTGTGATTCGTGCGTATAAGGATCAAATCAACTTAACGTGACTTTTATTTGTATCCGCATCCAATTTCAGCATATCATGTTTCCACCAACAACTCTCCGTGGCCAAAATAGTTCATTAAAGTCCGACTATATCAGAGCCATGATCCCTCGCCTCTTAACTGAATGTGTGAGTGAGTTGGGTTTACCGCCACCTTAAACAGTATGTAAATGCTATCACCGCGTGGACTTATAAAACTTGAGGAAAGCCCGAATAATGCAGGTTTGACAAACCAATCAAGTTGTATATGGGATCGAAAGCCACGTTATAGAATCCTAGCACGCCTAAGGGCCGTAACTCTGCATTGCGAATTGCAGAACATTACACGAATGGGGCACCAGGATCACCATCCTTCGCTGTCCCGAAGAAACCTCCACACATAATACCCTGACACGTACGTCCTTCCTCTACCACGCAATTCATATCCTAATAGTTGAATCCTCTCTCCTTTTTCAATAAATGTGATTTCAGTGCTTGTCAAGACACAACTGAAGTGACAGATTCATTTAGTTATGTTGTGTGAATACTAACCGAATGATAAATATTTCCCACACCCTAATGCCACCAATGCAGAGAGGATTAAAATGCACTTATATTGCATCACATTGATAAAAAAATGATATATTTTTCATACAAAGGTTTTAACCCATAGAAAAGCAAATGATTAACTACCTGGGGCACTTACAAATGTTTAATTAAATCTTTAAATTTGGCCAAAATTGCATTTATATTCAGAGCATACACTATTTTGATCTTCTGTTATAACATAAACAAAGTACTCCTAGGAGAGCTTGAGATCAGATGTTAAGGATGGTTATATTTTTTCACATACATGAAAAATGAGAGACCTGCTGTAATAGATTGAAGGAATGCTATTTCTAAGATGACCTGTAACAGATCATGTTTCAGATGGTTATTGTGTAACAAGCATTAAACATGGAAAAAATGAAACTATATCGAGACTAAACAGCTACATTTCAGCAAAATATGTAACATATAGCCTCAAACTGACAATTTGGACAGGAGTGATTGAGTCCTGTGCCAATCTTGGAATCTGCCACCAATCATATGTAGAAATAAAAGTTACCAAAAGTTACCAAAAAAATCACATCAGTGTGTATTTGTCTTTCCTTGCACGCATATGTGTGCATAAAGATAATTTTGTGACATGCAAACCTTTGCCCATCGTCACGTAAAATAGTATTTGAGTATTTGTCATTGAGTATATGTAATTTCTAAGATATCTACAGTTATCGTTAAGATACTATATTGTCTGCTTGGTGTCCACATATAGTCATCATTAGAAAATCAAGTAAAGCATCAAAAGGAATATTTTTTGACTTGATACAAACATATTAAAAACATCGAACTGTTGGCGGCTATAACCTTGGGATATAAATCAAGAGTAGTATAGAGCATGGCACTGATATTACTGCTGTCGACTTCCTAAAAATATTGAAGAAAAGCGACAAAAAACATTTCCCATTTACAAGAAATCGCTACTGAAAGTAGAGCCCATTGCACAATTCCGACAATATCATAAGCAGGTGTTTATAAATCACATCACTATTAACTAGTGGTGACACCGGATGTTCGCGAAAAGGTGAACGTATGCTGCCCCACCGGTAGCATGAGTCACAAACACAAGCAAAGGCAAGTCAATTGTCCACTTGAATACACACGGAAGCATGGTACAAGTCAAAACAGGAAATTTAGAAATATCATCATGCCTACCATAAACATTTCAAAGGCTTCACTGAGGTCTGGTCTTGTTGTAACTGATCAAACAACGTTTGAGAAAGAGTTGTACTGTGGTTCGACTTGGAGGGAAAGTTGACAATTGGAAAGATAATCCCGCTTGTCATACAGTTTGGGTTAGAATATTCAATATATGGCATACAGAAACACCTTGAAAACGGGAATGTGCATGTAAATTGACAAGGGAAATCTTATGGAATAACGTACTATCTTCACGGGCTTCACGAAATTGCATTTATGCAGATAGAAGGCACCGCTGGGGATCCAGTGGCACATTGTTGCCTTCTCCATTTCAAGCAACAACCCACCTTACTCGTAATTACATTATAAGGTTGCGTTTGTGTTTTGTGTATTCGTTGTTTGTATCCTTATCCTGGCGATACACGGAATCTTTTTTTGCTTCTTTTCTTCTTTAACGCCGCTCCAGGCAATATTCCAGCTATGTGACGTCGGTCTGTAAACAATCGAGCCTGGACCAGACAATCCAGTGATTGACAGCATGATCAAGGATCTAGTCAACTTGGATACAGACAGCAATAAGACAATTTGTCTTAGTAACATGCCACCGGCCCATAAAACTTAAATATAGAATGATAAATCACGCACGCTGGAGTATTGGACATTTATACAACAATTTAAAGGTACATGTATTAGGTTTTTCATTTATTGTAGACTGTTGAGCTAATGCGGATATGGTGACTAGCATAAACAAACAGAGCGAGCTGAAGACCAACGCAAATCCGGATCTTCACGATGAATACACGTAGTCAAAAAAGATCTGCTTCAAACAATTGTTATATTTATCCAAGGCCCAAATGAAATAAGTTGTTCCTGTTTCTCCATGTACCTAGTTTTCAATGCGATTTGATTTCTCCCATGGGAAACTTGAAGTTTTAAGAACATGTACAAGACGGCTTGTGGTCATGTATTTAATCGAAATGATCAGAGAACGTGGTTGGTTCTTGTATGGAAGACACAGAGTCTGAAAAACCGTTATTGTTTCCTCTGTTAGAACGATAATCAAATCAGGAGGTTCAAATTGACATAGCAATGGAAACATTTAATTTATTATCTCTGCTCCTGACACGATGATTTTTTAAATATATTCTTAAGTTGCTGTCTTGCACTGAACATTTGCGCTTGTAGAAAATATTTGAAAGTTACATTCCCTAGATAACATGAAATGTTTTAATGAATTCTAGAAACTTCTATGTACTGTTATATTTCAATGAAATATGTCAATACGTGTCTATAAATCAACAATATAACACACACAGTCCGGACTGATGCCGATTTATAGTGCTAGCTCACTGAGATACCATGCTGCAGGTCTCGTCAACATGAAAAAGAATGTAACATTTCAAAACAATTTAAATCAAATCCATACAACGCACCAAGAATATGGCGCATATACGACTAAAACAACTTTAACTGACCTGGATCAAAGTCAGGTTGGCTCCTGACGAGTCCCGTCAACACGCAGAACAAAAGCAAGCGCTTGTTACAATCCATGTCGTGTCGCGATGTCCTCTGACGGGAATTGACATGTACTTCCAGTTCAATACACTGGTTAAATATTCATAACTGCTTTTAGCTAATCACTTATTAGCCAGCTAGCCTCCAAGGAGCCGCTGAGTCAGCTTAAGGGTCCCTCGTTGGTTGGACACGAGTGGTACGAGTAGTAATGGTAATCTGTTGCTTCAGGCGGTGGGAAAACTCATCACAACCATGCCATCAGGGTATTGTTTTACGAATGGTGGAGTATACCGTTTCTCCGTTAATATTCTTTCCATGTACAAATTAAGGACTTCAACACAACTGTACATTAAACCTAAGAGGCCCCACAGCAACAAGGCCACTTGAGTATTTGAACATATATTTGTTGCACGTTTTGTTGAATGCTGCTTTCAAAGACAATATTTAGTGACATCTGTTTGTTACAAATCAGAATGATACTATCAGACAGGAATTAATACAATTACGATGAGAAATACCATTTTTTACAATGAAGTTATGCCAAAGTTCATTGTCTAATTCTGAACCATTCCTTAATGATCCACCATTTCCGGAAAACATCGATATATGAAAGGTTGTACGTATTATGTCGATATCAATTATGTTTTAAAAATTTGAGAGTACATGTAGCGTATAAATTCAAATGCAAATTTAAATTTAAATTGGTCCATTGGGGAGTGAGGGGTTAGAGGTCAGGGCGGTCACTCGTACCCACCTGGGAATAATGCATGACGTTCATTCCGGTGTCAACAGACGTGATAAGACTGTTATATTGCACACAAAAAACGGCGTGAAATCAAACTTATTTGATAATGTTAACCAACTGAAAAGACCCGCGTAGATCCGGGTAAGTCTTGGTCTTCAGCAACCCATGCTTATCGTAAGAGGCGACTAACGGGATGCTCGCTGTCATGGTTGCATGTCATCGTATCGCAATGTTGCGTAGATCGATGCTCATGATGTCAGTCACTGGATTGTTTGTTCCAGACTCGATTATTTACAGACCGCCGTCGGGTAGCTGGGATATTGCTGAGTGCGGTGTTAAACAACAAACAAACAAACAAATAAACAAACAGATCTAGCGATCGCCGCCGTCGGGTAGCTTGGATATTGCTGAGTGCGGTGTTAAACAACAAAACAAACTGAAAAACTACTGTTTGGCACTTTCAGTCGATAAACACCGCTCTGGTAATTTACTAAGAAGAGAAATGTATCCCTATTAACATGGACTATTCGGACCGTACTATACCTCGCATACATTGTACAAAGCCATGTCTGGTTACGGCGTAAATATTTCAGGAATGTTTCCGAAAATCAGTATGATGTTATTTAAATTTCTGAAAAAAAACTCCCATCAATCACGCAATAGCACAATCTAATATATTTAATGATAATCTTAGACAACCGTTATTTCCTTTTAAAGGTTGATTGCAATAAGTTATTGTTAGTTTGTGTGACACGTAGAGGCGATTGTCTTTTAAAGGACAGGTATTTCCTCTTTTCTGTTACCGGATGGCAACACTGTTTGACAAGTCATAGCGTTGTGTCTCCCCGACGGAAATGCGTGTGGGTGATCTCACCAAATCATTGTCACCAATGCAACAAAATAGATGTTCAATGTAAGTGTAGGGATAGAGAAACCAGTAGCAGTCAAGAACCAATTATCTCTCGTAGCGTTCCGTGACTGTTACAAATCTATCATTTATGTAACTGCCTACATCCATCGGTTTCAACACGCAGAGGAAGACAGGAGGAATAGTGCCCATTAATGGGTATTGTTGAAGCTTTCGAAACACCTGACAACGTTTGTGAGAAATTGTGTGACACACACGACTGGAATAGCAATCATCATCTCGATAAAATGTGTCCTAGTTGACATATGACTTGTATTCTTTTGATGGTTACAGTGAGTGAGTGATTATGGTTTTACGCCGCTTTTAGCTATATTCCAGCAATATCACGGCGGTGGACACCAGAAATGGGCTTCGCACATTGTACCCATGTCGGGAATCGAACCCGGGTCTTCGGCGTGACGAGCGAACGCTTTAACCACTAGGCTACCCGATCGCCCCCGATGGCAAAAGAAAAAGGGGATGGGAAGTGCATTATATATACAAACGTGTTACCGACGTTATGTACAATATTTCGCAAACACCAGGTGTCTTCATTGTGAGTGTTGGTGTCAATGCATTTACCGTTCCCAGTTTGTTTTTAACCTCTAGGCTACCCGACCGCCCCGGCATGTTATAGAAATAAGGTCAAACAATATATCCCAAATAGGAAGCTATCGATAGATATGTGTTATCACTGATAGATTCTACAGATAATCATTTGCATATATATTTCCACTTTCAGATTTAGACACTCCGTCGGTGTATTTTGAAGTACATCAACGTTGTATTAAGACCTGCATCGCTTCGGGCTTTCCTTCCACATTAAGTTCACACGCCCTGATCCCCACGACTGTTCAAAGCGGTGTTAAACCCAACTAGCTCAACGTTGTACAACATGCAACTTTGGCGTATATCGATGATCTGATATCGTTCAATAACAATCAAATAACCGATTCCCTTCCACTGATTTACCCACCTGAACTAGAAATAGAGGTGACCAGTGAGACCGCCTCATCTATTTCATATTTAGATCTTTGCATTTATAAAGATTCAGATTGACAAAACACTTTCTACAAGACTGCATGACAAGAGGGATGACTTCAACTTTCCAACAGTCAACTTTCCCTTCATGTCGAGCAATATTCCAGCAGCTCCTGCCTTTGGTATTTACATTTCGCAACGTTTAAGATACAATCGAGCATGCTCTTTCTACCAAGATTACAAAGAGTGTCATACGACTCTTGCTCGGAAGTTGTTTGACCAAGGTTACAACAATCAAGGCCTGAGTCAATCTTTCAAAACGTTTTATGGTAGACACGTGTAGGACATTTCCAAATTTGACGCATCAGTGACAAAAATGATGTAATTCCCTATTTTTACTTATACCATATGTTCCCATGCTTTTTCAGGTGAACAATAAACTTGCCTTTGCATGTGTTTGTGACGGGTGGCACCGGTGGGGCAGGATATGCTCACATTTTCGCGAACACCTGGTATCATTACTATTTGATGGTGATTCATAAACACATGCTCATGATATTGTCGGAATTGTACCATCGGTTTTGTACAATTGTACAGATTTCTAATGGATATGGAAAGGGTTCTGTCGCTTTATTAGACATGAAATAAGCCAGACCCTGAATTGATGATCAGCTCGGTACTCTGCGTGATAATAATGCCTTGCACGGCATGAACCTTAATATGAACATGCATGTAGTGTTGTATTGATGATTATTTTTTAGAGCGCAGTCCATATATCCGTTCGACCAGGGTTGGCGTTCAAGGTACGGAAGGGCACACGCTCTCATAATAAGTTATTCTGAAACCCTTTGAATAGATGTAGGGATTCCACCGTTAGAAACGCGATGAAATGAAACATCACGAAACCAGTGTGACAAAGAACAAACGCAAGATATCTTTCTCGCTATCGAAGGCAATTTAACCTTTGTGAATGACACAGCGGAATGGTGCCTTTCCGAGGTAATCCTTAAAATTCCTGTTTTGGTGAAATCTGGACGTATCAGATAATATTTTCTGGATTAGCATATGGGTTTTTCTTGAATTGGAATACGGCATATTGCAATCGATAGACGAAGAAAGGGTCGTAGACTTTTTAATGGCAAAGAATTGTTATGTGAAATATTTTTTGTATTGAAAGTCGTGGTATTTGTTTTGATAAACCCACGGTTATCGATAAATTTCCTCAAATTAATATGCTGATAGTTTCTGATATTGAAATGAAGGCTGTTAATGATTTCTTTAATTCATTGACAAAAAGGCATTTATAGTTTCAAGAAAAATGTGCTTATCGTTTTTCTATTGTCAAGATATGAGAATCAACTTTAAAAGACAGCATGTAAGTTAAACGCCTTTACCGAAAATCACTTCAAAATGCAAACAACTTTATTAATGCATATTTCCTATTCGTGAACGTCTGAAGTCTTACACAACGTTCTCATTATGAAGCACAACTAAAACATGCGACGTAAGCCGATATTGCCCACGGTTGCTCATAATCACATGTACGACTCCAATATCACTTGTAATCAAATCACTGAGTGCAACCATGCACAGACAATGAATGTACTCACGGTTCGCTGAAATAATAGCCGAGATGACAGTGATGATGATGATGGAGTATGACATGGATGCTGCTGACAGGTCTTTCATTGTCGATGAAGTCGTGCAGATTCTTGTCACTGAATGTTGTTAAGAAGCTGCCTACCTGACAAGACGCTGCTGACTATTGAGCAACAGGCCCCTCGTCAGACTGCCTTTACCAACACCCCTCCGTCCCTCCCATCACCCACGCGCTCCCTCCCCGCCCCCTCCCTGACGCGCACGTGACCAATCATTTGTCTGTCTTCTTTATCCTGTAACGCGAGCCGCCATCATTGGTTCTATATTAGAAGCGTCGTTTGAGGACCTCGCAGACATCCATCAGTCATCCAGTTGTCTGCCAGATAGGATGTTGGAGAAGTATACACAGAAGAAGATAAATCAGTAGCTGATCAACGATGCTTTTTAAGCATTTGATTCTAAAAATTCCATATTCTCAAGAAACATTGTGTACATTGTTATTTGGAACATACACTACATTAAATTGTGGTGGAGCTGTTTATTTATAGTTGTGTTGCAAGGGAATATTTCAATAAGAGTGAGTGAGTGAGTAGCAATATCACGGCGGGGGACACCAGAAATGGGTTTCACACATTGTACCCATGTTTCAATAAGAAATAAGAAAATAGTTTGATTTTCGATATTACAGTACAAAATGTGTTGTAATTGAACCTGTCGCGCTGTATATATGAGCTGTCATTTTCAATTTTCAATCAAAGTGATCATGACTCGGAATATTTACGCTTATATTCATGGAAGTTTAACATACCTTCTTTTATCATATAATGTGTGACTTTCTCGGCAGGATAAAGCCAACGAATATACACTGAATCTATTGGGGTTATTTACGGATAAATTTATAAATATAAAGG